GGATACAGACAACAAACGCTTGTGAAGGATATATATCACTGGATATTTTAATCACAGGAGTAAGCAAAGGTTGCTATGGGAAGAGAGAGAAAGTGTGTAACTTTGCCTGGGGGGTTGGAAAGGGTAAAGAAAGGCTTCTTTGAGGAGGTATTCCCTGGCTTGAGTTCCTTGGCATGGTAATATCTGAAAAGCAAAGGGAATGAAGAATGTGGAAGGTTTCTCCTGCCATGTCAGCATTTGGCCAGCACTACTGCCTCCTTGAGAAGTCAGAAGTTCATGCCAGCCCCAGGGATCTGAATGTGGAGCTTGGAAAGCTGAACTACTGTTCTTTTATAAACTTGGGTGCTTTTCTTCCTCATCGGTGTGAGAAAGCTCACTTTTTACTAACTCTTCCCTCAAAAGGCATATACTGGAAACAGGAAAAGGCTTAGGTTTCATCTCCATTTTTTTCCCTTTACCCATTGTGCAAACTCTAAGCTCATATACTCTGGGACATACTTCTTTATATCATAGGGTTTCAGTTCATCTGTGTTAAAAAAAATCAAAATAAATAAAATATTTAAAAAAAAAAACCCTGGCTGGCATAGCTCAGTGGATTGAGCGCAGGCCTGCGAACCAGAGTATCGCAGTTCGATTCCCAGTCAGCGCACATGCCTGGGTTGCAGGCCAGTTTCCAGCAGGGGACACACAAGAGGCAACCATACATTGATATTTCTCTCCCACTCTCTCCTTCCCTTCCCCTCTCTAGAAAAATAAATAAAAAAATATTTTTAAAAATCAGAAGTGTTGTTCCATTGTCACTGGATAAATTCCAGAGCCTAGAAAAGTCTTCAGGTGACCAGTTCCTTTTCCTTTAAGATGACAAAACAGATAAGAATGTGTGGACAAAGCCAAAGGCGGGTAGGATTAAGGGTGGGAAGTGGGGATGGCTGGGGGGGAAATGGAAATGGGGGGGAATAAAAACAACTGTACTTGAACAACAATAAAAAATGTGAAAAAAATAATGCATTCTGCTGAAGGGAATTTCTAACCTTAACTAATTTTTTTTGTTTGTTTCTAAGCCCTCTCACTGTCAGAATATTCTTTCTATTTTCCTCTTTAAATGAATCTTTAAAAAGTATATTTTATTGATTATCCTATTAAAGTCTCATTTTTTTCTCCCTTTTACCCACCTCTGCCCTGTGCCCCTTCACATGAGCATTCCCCACCTCTTAGTTCATGTCCATGGGTCATACCTGTAAGTTCTTTGGCTTCTCCACTTCCTATACTATGCTTAACTTCTCCCTGTCAACTTTGTACCTGTCATTTGTGCTTCTTATTCTCTGTACATTTCCCCCCAATCTCCCTTCTTCTCTCACTGATAACCCTCCATATGATCTCCATTTCTGTGATTCTGTTCCTGTTCTAGTTGTTTGCTTTGTTTTTGCAATTTTAGGTTCAGTTGTTCATAGTCATGAGTTTGTTGCCATCTTACTGTTCATAGTTTTGATCTTTTTCTTACATAAGTCTCTTTAACATTTCATATAATAAGGACTTGGTGGTGATGAGCTCCTTTAACTTGATCTTATCTGGGAAAACTTTATCTGCCTTGGCATTCTAAATAAGAGATCTGCTGGATAGAGTAATCTTGGATGTAGGTCCTTGCCTTTCATGACATTGACTACTTGTTTCCAGTCTCTTTTTGCCTGTAAGTTTTCTGTTAAGAAATCAGCTGATAGTTTTATGAGAACTCCTTTGTAGGTAACTGTCTCTTTCTCTTGATGCTTTTAAGATGCTCTCCTCTTTAATCTTGGTAAATTTAATAATGATGTGTCTTGGTGTGTTCCTTTTTGGGTCCAAATTCTTTGTGACTCTCTGAGCTTCCTGGACTTCCTGGGAGTCTATTTCCTTTGCCCAATTGGGGAAATTCTTCATTATTTGTTCAAATAAGTTTTCAATTTCTTGCTCTTCCCCCTCCCTCTGGCACCCCTATGATTCAGATCTTGGAACATTTAAAGTTGTCCCAGAGGTTCCTAAGCCTGTCCTCACTTTTTTTGAATTCTTGTTTTTTCATTCTGCTTTGGTTGAATGTTTCTTTCTTCCTTGTACTCCAAATTGTTGATTTGAGTGATGGTTTCCTTCTTTTTGCTGTTGTAAAACTGTGTCCTTCCACACAGTTTGATTTTCTGGCAGTTCTTATTTATTGTATATTCTCTGTATATTTTTCTTCACTTTGCATAGCCTTCACTTTTTCCTCTATTTTGTGTCCACACTCAACCATTTCAGTGAGCATCCTGATTACTGCTGTTGTGAACAGTGCATCTGATAGGTTGGTTATTTCTTTATTGCTGAGTTCTAATTTTGGAGATCTGATCTATTTTTTTGAAATTTTAAAAAGTATTTAAGTTATTTACTTTAGACAGAGGAGAAGGAAAGGAGAAAGAGAGGGAGAGAAACATAAATGTGTGGCTGCTTCTTATGTGCTCCATACTGGGGAACTGAACCGACCACAACCCAGGCATGTGCCCTGATTGGGAGTCAAACTGTCAACCCTTTGGTTTGCAGGCTGGTGTTCAGTCCACTGAACCACACCAGCCAGGGCTTGATCTGCTCTTTCATTTAGGCCATCTTCCTTTGTCTTGGTACTCCTGTTATATTGTAAGTGGTGGAGCTTAGGTATTCATCAGGGTAGGTCAACCCACATCACTGTGTTGAGGCCCATTATGTGGAGGAGGGTTCTGAGAGAGGACAATGCCACTTGCTCTGCTTTTGGCCAGCTTTCAGTCACTTTCCTACTACCCACAAGCAAATTGGGTCCTTCTGATGCTGATTCTGGGTGGTTGGGCTTCTGTGTGTTCTAGGACCCTATGGGTCTCTCCAAGAAACTCTCCTGTGGGGCTGGGAGTTTTTCCCACCACTGCAACCCCCACAGAATTTTACAGCGAGAGGTTTTAAGGATTTCTTTTTCCACACTTGAACTCTGGATTGCCTGGTCTGTCACTCCCAAGTTGTTCCTCCTAGTATATCTGAACATGAATGAGGGACCTCCTTGTCTGCCAGCCACTACCTCATCCACCATTTCACCAGCCACAGCTTTGTCTCCTGTCCTCTCCACCCTGCCTGACCATCTCCACCCCTCCTACCAGTCTGGATGAAAGTTTCCTCTTTAGCTCCTTGTTTCACAGACTTCCACACAGTTCAATTTTCTGGCAGTTCTTATTTATTGTTTTTAAATTTGTTTTTGTCCTCTTGGTTGTACAAGGAGGCACAGTGTATCTACCTATGCTTCCATTTTGGCTAGAAGTAAAGGCCTAAATGCTTCTAACTATTTCTTAAAGTCCTTGTGTTTTTCTCTGGCTTCATTGAGTATAAAAACCTGGTTACCATGTTGCAGGCATGCTTAGAGGGGACATTGAGATTTCCTTCCAAAGGGTTCATCTGAAGGCAAAATGGGATTATTAGCTTCTCAGAGTGTATATGGAATTTTTATCTTTGAGGAAAAATAAATAAAAGTAAAGTCAGAAATCCCTGGAGTGGTCTGCCTTTCACTTTCCAGCTGAGCTCCAAAGCTCTGAAACCTATAAATATGTCATTCATTCACCACTGATTAAACATCTGCTCTCTAGAGGTTGTGTTGTGTGTTAGTTTCTATATCCATATTTGTGGCAGGAGACCATTCCATGACCTTTGGTGTAGTAGTCAACCATAGTGTTCTTGTAATTAGTCTCTCTTTGTTGCAAGCAGGAGAGCCACTTGAGATCTCTCAGTGAATATAGAGTTTATTATAACATAAGGAAAGTGGACCACAAAAGCCACTGGGAAGCACTGAATTCTCTCTTGCTCTTTCATGGGTAGCATGGAGTTTTTCTTCATGGTATGTCTTCTCCATGATACTGCATTATCTCCCTCTACCAGTTGGTTTTCTCCACATACCTAAAAGTTATGTGTACTCATAACTTAAGATTGAACTTGGCTTTAGCTTGACATAGACTTGATTCTACCTCCTGGTATTTTTTTCTTAACTTATTCTCTGTCTGATAACTAACTCAGCATTTCTGTGTTTCTTGATTAAAACTTTCAGAAACAAGAGTCTGGCCCATATCATGTCTTCATGCCAGGTTATAATGCCATCCATTACTGGCCAGCCAATAAAATCTGTTTATTTGTGTCACATATCAATGCTAGGTCCAACACTGTCACCAAAGGTATGGTTTGGGGAGTTCAGAGGTTATAAAATGTAAACCTAGGCAGCAGCAAGAGTTGTAGATGAGGCAGTTTTTCTTAGAAGGCAGTGTTGTCAAGTACCAGACTTATATTTGTGGTTGGAAGGGTAAGGTTATCACTAAGATCCCACAAAATTTCCCAGTGACTAAATGATCTAAACAAAATGAAGATGAAGGCTAGGGGCACAGTGGAAGGTACTGGAAGCTAAAGAAAGAAGGCATGTTTACAATGAATTTGGAATGATTTATCAGAAGAAAAAAAGTGTCTCTGGAAGAGGGAGTGTGGTGCCATGCTGACCAGGACAAACCTATGAAACGTGTAGGCTTTCTGCAGATCTCAGTCTGGCAGCTGATTCCAAGTTACAGAAATCATGACCTACCTTAAACTACTAGGGGCCTACTTGACTCTTAGAAAAGGCTAACATTCTAGGAAATAGCTGTAATCTCTATATTGTGATTCTTTGTAAACCAGAAAAAGATAGAAGTCTGGTTGGAGGGGCCACCTGAACTTTGTAAGTCATTTTCAAAAATATTTCAGCTATAAAAATTACATTGTCCTGTCTCAATTCCTAATACTTCCTTTGATGAGTTGTCCCCTCTACTACCTATTACAACTCACCACCTATCACATGGCAAAGAAATTCTACTGAGTCTGTAGTATTATAGACATTTAGGGTAAAAGGGGAGAGGTAAACTCTGAGTAGAGGAAGCAGAATTTGAGCTGAGCTTATACGGAGGGAATGTTGGGGTGACAAAAGACCTATTATATTTTTCTACCTGTGTGTATGTTTTTTCCAGGGTTGCTAATAAGCTCAGGCTGTGCATTATACCCCTGAGGATGGAATATCCCAGAGATAATGCAAACATACAGGAATGTCTCCAATCAATTTCAGTTAGGTAAGGTGACTGGTAGGATGGCAGTGTCAGTTCATCTGTTTTTCAAATTACTTTACCCCTTAAATGAGCTTCTGCTTGCTAGTGGTGCTTTCCTCCGTCTCTCTCACTGTGTTACCTTGTAAGAAGTAGTGGCTTGACCAGATTCATCTGGCCTTGCTAACTTACAAGGGGTGGACATAAATTTCACTTCCTTAACTATTTCTCTCCACATCCTTTATATATTTTTACCCAGAGTGCTGTGACCAGTTTGTGTCAACACTATGTACAGAGGGATTTCAAAAGCTTGTAGACTCACTCTCTGTATAAACACTACATTCTATTATTATTTTCTTCTAGGCACTGTTTTCTAAATATATATCAATAGTATCTCTTCTCATGCTCCACTGAAGATGTAACAGAGGGTAATTTAGTTTACATCTCCCATTAGGAACATAGGTTAAGTATTGGAAATTGTTACTGGCATACTAATTGCAAGAGTTGTTAAACATAAGGAGTGACAGAAGTAGCTCTGGACTCTTCCATGATTGACAATTCTCAGTGAGAATGGCTTAAATCTAGTATTGTGTATTGGGAATAGATTAGACTCTAACTGAAAGACTTCAAAATATTCTTCCAACCTACTACAATAGAAGAGTTAGAAGGGAAATGTCTAATCTTCCTTGAATTTTCTCAATTGTAAGAGAACTTTGGAACAATGAGGCAACCCAACTCCTATAGTTTATGCTCCATTACTTCCCTTTCTCTCTGTTGCCTCAGATTGTTTATCTCACCTGACAAATTTTGGGAGGAAGGAGTTCTTTACTGGACAAACACAACATGAGGGAAGGGCTATAAAGAAGATAGGACAAGTATGTAAGCAAGACAAGTGGTCCTGCTAGCTGGAGTAGGGAAAAATAAAGATTTAGCACATTTTTTCTGCTTGGCTGTTAGACCTATAATTCTACTTTAAAAAACAGGCTTATTGATATATAATTCACATTCTATAGAATTTTCCCCTTTAAAGTGTGCAATTAGTGGTTTTCAGTATATTCACAGGGCTGTGCAATTATCACTACTATTCGATTTCAGAATATTATCATAACCCCAAAAGAAATCCCTTACCCATTCACAGTCACTCTCAATTTCCTCCTGAGCTCAGCCCCCAGCAACTACTATATAGATTTGTTTATTCAAAACATTTCATATAAATGAAATCATGTAATATGTGGCTTTTGTGTTCCGTTTCTTTTACTTAGAATAATGTTTTCAAAGTTCATCCACATTCTAGCATGTATCAGTACGTCTGTTTTTCATGGATGAATAATATTACATTGTATGGATATAACACATTTATCCAGTCATCAATTGACAGATTTTGGGTTTCTCCATTTTTTCACTATTATGAATAATAATAATGCTATGAATACTTGTGTACACATTTTTGTATGCATATATTGTTTTATTTCTCTTGTGTATGTATCTAGCTGCAGAATTTCTGAGTCAAATGGTGACTCCATGTTTAAGTCTTTGAGGAACTGCCAGGCTATTTTCCAAAGTGACTGCATCACTTTACATATCTACCAGAAATCTCCAAGTGTTCCAATTTCCCCAATCTTCAGCAACACTTACTTTCCATTTTTTAAATTATAGCTATCCTGGTGAGTGTGAACTGATAGCACATTGTGCTTTTAATTTGCATTTCCTAATTACTCATAGCACTGAACATCTTTTCATACACTTATTGGCTATTTCTTTTCTATAATTTTTGGTATTTTTAATTTCTCTATTTAAAAAAAATTACTCTACTACAGTTGTCCCAATTTCCCCCCACTGCTTTCCCCTGCCCCACATAACCCCCACTCCCACACTCAATCCTCACCCTGTTATTCACGTCCATGGGTAATTTATACTTGTTCTTTTCTGTATCTTCTTTAAAGAAATGTTTATTCAAATTATTTGCCTATTTTAAAATCGATTATTTGCCTTGTTTTATTATCTGGAGGAGTTCTTGCTGTATTCTGGATAGTAGACTATTTTTAGATGTATGATTTACAAATATTTTTCTCATTCTGTGGCTTGTATTTCCACTTCTTTGATGACATTCTTTAAAACACAAAATTATTTAATATTGATTAAATCAAATTTTATCTATTTTTAAAATTTTGTTAATTGTGCTTTGATGTCTCATCTAAGCATATATTGCCAAATCCAAGAACACGAGGACTGTTTTTGCTCATCTTGCATTTTCATGTGAATTTGAAGTTTATCTGGTCAATTTCTTCTCCACAAGAGCCACTTGGGATTTTGATAGTGTTTGATTGTGTTGAACCAGTAGTTACTTTGAGAATATTGCTACTTTAGAAATATTATCTTTTTCCAGTCCATGAGCATGAGATTATGGTCCATTGAGTTAGGTCATTTTTAATTTATTTTGATATTTTATATATGTGAAATATATTCCTAAGTGTTTTTATTGTTTTTGGTGATATTGTAAATGTACTTGTTTTGTTAATTTTATTTTGGATAATTCATTGTTACTGCATAGAAATACAAATAATTTTTCTATATCGACCTTACCTTTTGCAACCTTACTGAATTCATTTATCAATTCTAATGAATTTTTAGTGAATTTCTTAGGATACATTTTATTTCAATTATTTTCATATATTTAATATCAGTTAAACATGATCATGTTATGAATTAACATTTTACAAAAATATAGTGATTTTTCAGACAGCAAAATATCTTCCCATAAAATAGGAGAGTTTATATAAGAATACGAGAGCTTATATAAGAATATCTATTAACAACATCTTAATAAAAATACATGTCAACAATAATTGAGAAAACAGCCATTTAACAGTGTTTTGTTTATACAAAAAGCTTTTTGTTGTTGTTAAATTATACTTGTCCTCATTTTTGCCCCATTACTCTTCCCTTACTTGCCTACATACTGATTTCACAATCCTCACCTCCCCATTGTCCTTGTCTATGAGTCCTTTATACAGGTTCCTTGACTTGATCCTTCCCATTCTTTACCTTGTTATCCCTTCCTCAAGCCCCTCTGGTCACTGTCAGTTTGTTCTTTATTTCCATGTCTCTGGTTCTGTTCTGCTTACTTGTTGTTCTGTTGAGTAGGTCCACTTATAGGTGAGATCATAGGTATTTGTATTTCACCACCTGGCTTATTTCGCCTATCATAATACACTCCAGTTCCATACATCCTTCTTTCTGCTGTGTAGTGTTCCATTGTATAAACATACCACAATTTTTAATCCATCCATTTACTGATGAGTGCTTAGGCTGTTTCCAGCACCTGGCTATTATAAATTGTGCTTCTATGAACATTGGGGTGTATAGGCTCTTTTGTTGGTGTTTCAGGATACTTAGGGTGTAATAATAGCAGTGGGATTTCTGGGTCAAAAGGCAGTTCCATTTTTAGTTTTTTGAGGAAATTCCATACTAATTTCCATAGTGGAGGCACCAGTATGCATTCCCACCAACAGTGTACTAGGATTCCCTTTACTCCACAGCCTTGCCAAGACTTGTCGTTTGTTGATAGATTAATGATGGCCATTCTGACTGCTGTGAAGTGATATCTTATTGTGGTTTGAATTTGCATCTCTTCTATGTTTAGCAATACTGAGCATCCTTTCATATGTCTCTGGGTCATCTGTATGTACTCCTCGAAGAAATGTATGTTCAGGTCCTTTGCCCACTTTTAAATTGGATTGTTTGTCTTCCTGGAGTGGAGCCTTGCGAGTTCTTTATATATTTTGGAGACAAAACCCTTGTCTGAGGTATCATTGGCAAATACATTTTCCCACACATTTGGTTCCCTTTTCATTTTGTTGATGTTTTCTTTAGCATTGCAGAAAAATTTTAGTTTGATGTAGTCGCATTTGTTTATTCTTTCCTTTATATACCTTGCTCTAGGGGTTATATCAGTGAAAATATCACTGAGTGGAATATATGAAATTTTCCTGCCTATGTTTTTGTCTAGGACTTTGATGGTATTATGACTTATATTTATGTCTTTTATCCATCTTGAGTTTATTTTGGTGTGTGGTATAATTTAGTGGTCTAGTTTCATTTTTTGCATGTATTTGTTTAGATCTCCAAACACCATTTATTGAAGAAGCTATTTTTACTGCATTTTATGCTTGTGTCCCCTTTGCCAAATATTAATTGACCGTAGAGACTTGGGTTTCTTTCTCAGCTCTTTATTCTGTTCCATTGGTCTATGTGTCTGTTCTTATATCAGTAACAGACTGTTTTGATTACAATGGCTTTGTAATATAGTTTAATATCAGGTATTGTGATCCCTTCTACTTTGTTCTTCCTTTTCAAAATTGCTGAGGATATTTGGGGTCATTTATGCTTTCATATAAATTTTAGGAATATTTGTTATATATCTGTGAAATATGTCATTGGTATTTTTATAGGGATTGTGTTGAATCTATAAATTGCTTTGGGTAGTTATTGACATTTTGATGATGTTAATTTTTCTGTTCCATGAACACAGTATATGCTTCCATTTATTTGTGTCTTCCTTAATATCTTCCTTCAGTGTTATGTAATTTTCTGAGTACAGGTCTTTTGTGACCTTGGTTAAATTTATTCCTAAGTATTTTATTTTTGTTGTTGCTATAGTAAATAAGATTTCCCCCCTAACATCTGTTTCTGATATTTCATTGTTGGTGTACAAAAATGACTTTGATTTCTGAATATTGAATTTTTATCCTGCTGCTTTGACAAATCCATTTATTAGGTCATATAATTTTTGGTGGATTTTATAGGGTTTTCCATGTACACTATCGTGTCATCTGCAAACATTGACACCTTTACTTACTCCTTTCCAATATGGGTGAATTTTATGCCTTGTTTTTGTCTTATCACTGTGGCTATAACCTTCAATACTATGTTAAATAAAAGTAGTGCAAGTGGACACCTTTGTCTTGTGCCTGATCTTAGAGGAAAAACTTTATTTTTTCCAGTTGAGTATCATGTTGAATGTGGTTTCTCATATGTGGACTTTATTATGTTGAGGTATGCTCTCTCTATTCCCACTTTGCTGTGTTTTTTTAATCATGAATGGGTGTTGTATTTTATCAAATAATCTTTCAGCATCTATTTATGTTATCATATGGTTTTCATCTTTCATATTGTTTATGTGATGAATTACATTTATTTATTTGCATATATTGTACCATCCTTTCATCCCTGTGATGAATCCCATTGATCACGATTTGTGATCTTTTTAATGTATTGCTGGATCTGGTTTGCCAATGTTTTGTTGAGCATTTTAGTATCTATGTCCATGAGCGATATTGGCCTACAGTTTTATTTCTTTTTCATGTCTTTATCTTGTTTTGGATTGGGATAATACTGACATTGTGAAAACAGTTTGGGAATCTTCTCTCTTCTTCAATTTTTTGGAATAGTGTGAGGAAGATAGCTGTTCTTTAAATGTTTGGTAAAATTATCTTGGGAATCTCTCTGGCCCAGGGCTTTAGTATGTCAGCAGTTTTTTTTTATATTACTTATTCAATTTCACTAGCTAACATAGGTCTATTCAGGCCTTTGCCTCTTCTTGACTTAGTTCTTTTGGATTATATATTTATAATTTTGTATATTATAAATTTGTCTACTTCACCCAGTTTTTCAAATTTCTTGTCATATAGTTGTTTGTAGTAATTTCCTACATTCCTTTGTATTTCTCTGGTATCGGTTGTAATTTCTCTTCTTTCTTTTCTGATTTTATTTATTTGGGTTATCTCTCTTTTTTTCTTGGTGAGTATAGGAAAGGATTTTTTATTTTGTTCATCTTTTCAGAGAATCAGACCCTGGATTTATTGATCTTTTGGATTTTTCTTTTACTCTCTATGTCATTTAATTCTTCTCTGATCTTGATTATTTCCTTCCTCCTACTCATTCTGTTCTGTTCTTTGTTTGTCGTTGTGTTTATCATTTTTGTAGATGTAGTGTTTTTTCATGTTTAGGTAGGCTTATATTGCTATGAAGTTTCCTCTTAGGACTGCCTTTGTTCTGTCCCGTATATAGGTTTTTGGTTTTTGTGTGTTAATTTTCATTTTTTTCCAGAAAATTTTTGATTTCCTCATTGTTATCCCATTCATTGTTTAATAACATGGCATTTATTCTCCACATATTTGAATATTATTAAGTTTTTTCCTTGAGGTTGGTTTTCAGTTTCAAGCCATTGTTGTCTAAGAAAATTCTTAATATGATTTCAATGTTGTA